TCTTGCGGGCCGCCTGGGGGGCCAGCGGCTTGCGGGGCGCCTTCCCGCCCGTCGACTTACGCGCCGTCTGCTTCGTGCGGGCCATCGCTCTGAGAGCAGCGATTCACCTCTCGCAGCCGCCGCCGTGCAATGGTACCGTCCTGTTGCCGTGGGGGTTTTTATAGCATGTTCCCCTCTCTGATTGGCTGGCAGCAACACGCCGTCGCTATTGGATACTTTCAAATTCGAAAAACCCGCCTCAAAAACGCGCCCAGTCACCCGTCACCCACCAGCGCTCACCCTCCCCCCGTCTTGCAATCGCCGCTCTGGTTTTCGGTTTTGTCTATTTCTTATAGCAATTTTCATGGTCCATCTCAAAAATGAATGTCTTTGACGAAAAATGTTCAATAGGAAAGTGGGTAACTGTAAATTATGCTGTCTAAAACACATAGAAGGTTCATGTTTTTTTTCTGATAATTCACTGAAACTTCAGTTTTGAAAAATACATGTTGAACGGGTTTTTCCTCAATAAGTACCCTTATAAAAGTATTTTGAGTTTGATTGTGAGTTTTTGAGTTTTTTTTTCTTTGTGGTTTTTTTTTTTTCTCTTTTTTTTTGTGGTAGTGGTTTGGGGTTTTTTAATAGTCGTCGATTTCGTGTTTTTTTGTGTGTGTGTGATTTGATTTTTTTGTTGTTGCTGTTGTTTTGTTTTGTTTTGTTTTTTAAGGTGAGGCGGGGAGTATTTTAAGCTACAGTAACTTTATTCTGGAAATAGTAGAAAGCAATACCGTAGCTGGTACGGCAAATGCTTTTGGATTGAGACGAACTGCACATGAAAATGCTGTAATGCAAGAGACAGTGTTTTCAACGACTTTCAGTTTCTTTTAGCACTTAAACTATTCCCAAGCTGTTGCTTGCTGAAACAGAAGCTTTATTGTCCGCGAGCTTTCCATTTTCCTGACTGCACATTTCTGCTTCTTTTTCGTTGCCAAGTAAGTTGTCCTCTCAGCCTGAGTAGAGCAGGGAGCTCGGGCAAAGGGAAGACTGGTGCTGACACTGGATGCAGAGAACTGCCCGGGCTTCACCAGCCCTAAATTGAAGGAAGTAGCTTCCTAAATTTTTTACACACCGATCGCACAAAGAATAATGAACGAACTTCTTAAAAAACAAAAACAAAAACAAACCCGCTTTCAGAGGACAGACTTGTGATCATACCGATATTTAAAATTTCATGAGTTCAGGGGCAGCTAGCTGTGACACCTCCCACTCCGTGCCCGCGCATTTTTAACTGCCATCGTTAAAGGGACTGACGTTATTTAAATACAAATACGTACCTACTTCTGCTACTTTACTCGATTAGTGAAAAACAGACGACAACGAGAGATGTCCGCAGGGCGATGCGTACCTGCCCCTCCATCGGGGCAGCTCACCATCTCGAAATAGCGCAAGTTTTGGGCGTTTCGCTATTCAAATCGATTTCTCGGAGAATAAGTAAAAAGAATCCTAAACTCATTAGATTCCGACTACGCTGCTGGTAGTGAGATCAGAATTTCGTACGTTCGGTTATCTACTTAACTAGAATGGTCCCTAACACATTAGCAATACGCATTTAAATATCTCGTGTTAGAAGAGTCCCGTTTAGTTAGCAACGAAGTGCTTTGACTCTCCTCAGAGTTACAAATATAGTAATTTACATAACAATATGACACTTTAACAGCAGTAAACATTGAGAATGTTGATATTTACCACCTTTGAAGCAATACAGCTCTTTTACAGATTAAATGGGCGGCTCTTAAAAGAGCCTTTGGGTTTTCGAGACGATCCAGGAGCGAAAAACTTTTAACCGCCGAAGCCGTAGAGAGTGCGTCCCTGGCGCTTAAGGGCGTAAACCACGTCCATGGCAGTTACCGTCTTCCTTTTGGCGTGCTCGGTGTAGGTGACGGCGTCACGGATCACGTTCTCCAGGAAGACCTTCAGCACGCCGCGCGTCTCCTCGTAGATGAGCCCCGAGATGCGCTTCACGCCGCCACGCCGAGCCAGGCGGCGGATGGCCGGCTTGGTGATGCCCTGGATGTTGTCGCGCAGCACCTTGCGGTGGCGCTTGGCGCCCCCTTTACCGAGCCCCTTCCCGCCCTTGCCTCTACCAGACATCCTGCCACACTGCCACACAAAACGAGTGTAGCAGGAGCGCGGCGGCGCGGCGCATTTTATGTGTCGGGAGCCGACCTGGTTGGGGACTGCAGCGAGGAGGGGCGGGGTTCCCGCCAGTTCTTTCTGCCTCCGTCGCAAGCGCGGTGGAAGACGGCTTGCTGTTTTCCGTTAGACGGTGCAGTAAAGTCTACTAACTAAGAAACCCAATTACACCCCCTCAAAAAAGAGTCCCCACGACCTACATGTTCATATCAATTGGAAATTTTTTCTCCCCTTGCTCGGATTTGTATAAACTATTTGCTGTGCATGTTTGTGTGTATTTTATTTTCTTGCAATGAAATTTATTTGAATTATTTTAAACTCTGATTACTTTCGTGCTCCTTTTCATTAACCGTTTTGTTTTATTTGTAATCAAATTTCCATAAACTTTTCTTTAGAATTTTTAATGTTTTGACATCTCTTACTGGCTTTAGAGAATTTTCCACAATATCTGTTTTCTAATATATTGGATCTGTATTTTGATTTCCACCTCCCGTTTCTTAAATGGAAAGTTTGATACTCTCTTCTGATTTTCACATAAGCAATTTTGAGTTTGTAAGCACATATTAACCAGAAGGCAGAACAAAGTCTTTTTTTGTACCATTACCTATATATTAGACTGTGACTTTTACTAATTTTGCTCATTTGGAATTACTGCTGTAATTAAAACATGTTCTTTAGTATAACTACAGATTTGAATTTCTGCTACCTTAATTAGTCAGAAAATCGCCTTTGTCTTGTACTGTAAATCGAGCTTTTCAAAAATTAGCTGTTGTTTTATGGTTCTAAACCAATGCTGGAAACAGACAATATTCTGAATTAGTATTTATTAAAGTAAGGAGAAATCCTTGTCTAAGGATGTTACAAATGTTAAAGTATAAGAACATCCCGAGCGGGAATAACTACTAGACTAGTAGACCGTAACTACGAAACCATAAGGAATGGTTTTGTTTTTTTCGGG